GACACCAGTAGATACCAGTAGTAGCCATTAGTATCAGTAGGAAAAATAAGAACTGAAATACTGTTGTGATACATAAACAGTAAGCAGTTACTTGTCTGACTATTGCTGTTGTTCTTCTCTGTGCCAACAACAGTTACACCTACTTGTGATTGTACTCATGCTATCATAACAATTAAGCATATGCTGTGCATGCATGAGTAGTTGAGTACATGTGAATATTAAACCTTAGGCAATTTAATATTTGCTCAGTTGCAAGCTGTACATTACATTGATGCATAGAGATTGTTGAGTTTTAATTTATTTTATATATTAGTTTGTCCATATGCAGTGTTAAGTTTAGTATCAATAATTTGTTCTTGTTGTTCAGTATTGATTGTTGGTAAATCATATGTTGGACCAATAACTGCTGCTTCTCCTCCTCCTCCTACTGGAGCTTTATTTTGTATTGTAGTCCCTCTCTTTTTCATTATTAAACATACAATGATACTAGTAATTATTGCAGTAATGAGTCCAGTTAATAGACCAGTGATAGGTACAGCAATAGCAACTGTGTGTGTGTGTAATAGATTAGATACACTTAATGTATTAACTAACCACTAATGGATCCTACATCTGTTGATTGTGACATTGTTGTGGTAATGCATAAGGAATAACCTAATGAACAATATACTCACTGTATGTATTGATTATTATAACTTACTCTCAATGTAACTTCTTATTATTGTTTCAGTTGTTGTAATTAGCTGTGTTTCTGTGATTGTTGGTAATGCTGTCATAGCTGGGCTTTTATCTTGTGTTGTGATATACTCAGTAGTACTCATCATAATGTTAGTGATACTTGATGTAGTAGTGGTTATACTGACTATAGTAATAATATGTATTTATACATTATATTAGGTACTGATGCTATATACCATTAACAGTGACTGATGGTCCATATCCAACAACATTAACAGGTATGATAGTAACAGTGTAGTATTCATTAATAGGAGATAGTCCAGTAATAGTAGTATTAGTATCTGTTACATTATAACTGTACACAGAACAACTATTAATACAAATTGTTGTAATGTATACATTAATAATGTAATACTCAATAGGAGGACGTAATGTTGTAGTATCCTAATAAAATTTATTATTATCATAAATAACAATAATTTCAACTTACTTTATTGTTATTCCACCATATTGTAATACTATCAGTTGATATCTGATACCAACTAATATTAACAACTTGAGCTGGTACTATAAGAAATACAATGAGTGTGTGTGTGTATAGTACTTACCATTCCATATATACTGTATTAATGATGAAGGAGGTCCTTCTCTTCCAATAGTATCAATAGGAATAATAATAAATGAATAATTATTACCCATAATAAGAGTATCAATAGTATATGATGTAATATCATTTACAGACTCCTGTTTAAAGTCTGTCCCATTGCTGTATATTGTGATATTGTACTCATTTATACTGCAATTGTAATCCTGTGTGTATAATGACCAACTCATTGTTAGTGCACTATTGTTAATGGGATTAAAAGTTATATTAACAATTGATACCGATACTGGTGGACCTATTCATATAAAGTATTAGCTATAATAAAATTATAAAATTATCTATTACCTGTCATTTTGATGGTGAATGTAACAAAAGCTTCATTTAAAAGAGTAGCTGAACAGCCAATCGTGGTTTCATTTAATGATGCATCTAGTGATTGTATAGTACCAGTACTAGTCAATGTATTATTCACAATATCAGTAACACTGAGTGCAAGAAGACCACCACTACCAGTTGTAGTTGATCTTATAGCATTAGTTACTCTTCCTGAAGTACTAGAACTACTATGTCTCCAAAAGGTACTAGCCACAGTTCCATTAGTTACACAAGTAACTACTAGTTCATCATTAGGGCATACTGGAGTATAAGGTGGAGAGCTTTGAGTCAATACTGCTTCTCCTAATTGCATACTAATATAATGTCAGTGAATTATGAACTTACCAGATACAAGACTCAAACATCCAATCAATACAAGATACCAGTAGATACTAGTAGTAGCCATTAGTATCAGTAGGAAAAATAAGAACTGAAATACTGTTGTGATACATAAACAGTAAGCAGTTACTTGTCTGACTATTGCTGTTGTTCTTCTCTGTGCCAACAACAGTTACACCTACTTGTGATTGTACTCATGCTATCATAACAATTAAGCATATCCTGTGCATGCATGAGTAGTTGAGTACATGTGAATATTAAACCTTAGGCAATTTAATATTTGCTCAGTTGCAAGCTGTACATTACATTGATGCATAGAGATTGTTGAGTTTTAATTTATTTTATATATTAGTTTGTCCATATGCAGTGTTAAGTTTAGTATCAATAATTTGTTCTTGTTGTTCAGTATTGATTGTTGGTAAATCATATATTGGACCAATAACTGCTGCTTCTCCTCCTCCTCCTACTGGAGCTTTATTTTGTATTGTAGTCCCTCTCTTTTTCATTATTAAACATACAATGATACTAGTAATTATTGCAGTAATGAGTCCAGTTAATAGACCAGTGATAGGTACAGCAATAGCAACTGTGTGTGTGTGTAATAGATTAGATACACTTAATGTATTAACTAACCACTAATGGATCCCAAATCTGTTGATTGTGACATTGTTGTCGTAATGCATAAGGAACAACCTAATGAACAGTATGTTCACTGTATATATGCATTTGTAGTATGGTGCGTGGGCGGATCAAAGGCGCTGCCAGTGCTACAACTTCCAATAACTGCACGGTAGGAAAATGTAGCACTGTGTGGAATATATAGTACTTAGTCTCGTCACTATATAGTACTGCACAGTACACAATATGTATGGGCTTTCCTGTTAACCACAAGCTTTGATAGAGGCAAATAACAGCCTCAGCTACATACACTAGACATGTAACAATAATAATAGTGATAAATGAGATCTGATCGTCTTGCACTGGCGACCTGCTGCGACTTTTGAAATTTCATTTGATCCACCCACGCACCACTACAAACCAATCAAAGCACTGTTGATTCGTAGATTACAGAAATTATTGCACTCGGGACGGTCTCGACGAAAATGTAGCACTCGGCTTCGCCTCGTGCTACATTTCCTCTCGACCGCCCCGAGTGCAATAATTTCTGTAACCTACTCTCAACAGTGCTTTAACTAATACGTATTATATATTATAACTTACTCTCGATATAACTGCTTATAATTGTTTCAGTTGTTGTAATTAATTGTGTTTCTGTGATTGTTGGTAATGCTGTCATAGCTGAGCTTATATCTTGTGTTGTGATATACTCAGTAGTACTCATCATAATGTTAGTGATACTTGATGTAGTAGTGGTTATACTGACTATAGTAATAATATGTATCTATACATTATATTAGGTACTGATGCTATATACCATTAACAGTGACTGATGGTCCATATCCAATAACATTAACAGGTATGATAGTAACAGTGTAGTATTCATTAATAGGAGATAGTCCAGTAATAGTAGTATTAGTATCTGTTACATTATAACTGTACACAGAACAACTATTAATACAAATTGTTGTAATGTATACATTAATAATGTAATACTCAATAGGAGGACGTAATGTTGTAGTATCCTAATAAAATTTATTATTATCATAAATAATGTTTTAATTTACTTCATTATTATTCCACCATATTGTAATACTATCAGTTGATATCTGATACCAACTAATATTAACAACTTGAGCTGGTACTATAAGAAATACAATGAGTGTGTGTGTGTATATAATACTTACCATTCCATATATACTGTATTAATGATGAAGGAGGTCCTTCTCTTCCAATAGTATCAATAGGAATAATAATAAATGAATAATTAGTACCAATAATAAGAGTACCAATAGTTATATTGGTGTTGTTAGTAGTCCTGGATTCATTATGTGTACTGTTACTATTGATAGTAACATTATAGTGGTCTATACATGATCCTGAAGCATTCCAATTAATCAAGAATAAGGTATTGTTAAGACTAATTTTTATATTAGTAACTGTTCCTGGTATATCTGAATAATGTAACATTAAAAATGATAATGAGTGTAATACAATACCTGTTACATTAATAGCTACTATACTGTAGCTAATTCCAGCATCATCTGAACACCTAACATTAGTTCCATTCAGTTGCACTGGTACCGATCCATTAGTAGCATAACTTACTGTTACACCATCAACTAGTTCAGCTGTTACATTGAAACTATCAACTATTATTGGATTGCCGTTACTGGCTATAGCACGTACAGTACCAAAATCTCCTATCCACACCAGTGGACCACTAGTACTAGCTGTACAAGTGAGCACTAATCTACCACCAGGACACACAGGAGTAGGGTATGGTGGAATAGTTTGTACCAATGATGCTATACAGTTTTAATAATAGTCCAGTACAATAATATTATTAACTCACCACATGTAACAAGACTCAAACATTCAGTCAATACAAGACACCAGTAGATACCAGTAGTAGCCATTAGTATCAATAAGAGAATTAAGAGCTGAAATGCTGTTATGATACATAAACAGTAATCAGTTGTTCTTCTCTGTGCCAACAAGGGTTACACCTACTTGTGGTGTACTCGTGCTATCATAACAATTAAGCATATGCTGTGCATGCATGATTACATGTACCTTCAGTCTTAGTCAACGAAATACTAGAATACACATGTAATTTGCTTGCAGATAGGTTACATTATGTAACAGGTTTATAGAGATTATTGACTTTTTATTTTTTATTTTATATATTAGCTTGTCCATATGCAGTGTTAAGTTTAGTATCAATAATTTGTTCTTGTTGTTCAGTATTGATTGTTGGTAAATCATATATTGGACCAATAACTGCTGCTTCTCCTCCTCCTCCTACTGGAGTTTTATTTTGTATTGTAGTCCCTCTCTTTTTCATTATTAAACATACAATGATACTAGTAATTATTGCAGTAATGAGTCCAGTTAATAGACCAGTGATAGGAACAGCAATAGCAACTGTGTGTGTGTAATAGATAAGATACACTTAATGTATTAACTAACCACTAATGGATCCTACATCTGTTGATTGTAACATTGTTGTGGTAATACATGAGGAATAACCTAATGAACAATATGTTCACTGTATGTCCTGATTATTATAACTTACCGTCAGCACAACTACTGATTGTTTCAGTTGTTGTAATTAGTTGTGTTTCTGTGATTGTTGGTAATGCTGTCATAGCTGGACTTTCATCTTGT